TGTGGGTTGGTTAAAACCGCACCATTCGGACAAAAAACAGATCCGCACCGAAATTTGTGCGGTTTTTCAAAACTTTAACCGCACCGGAAACTGAACTGCTGAAAAACCGAACCGAACCGCACCAAATACATCGGTTCGATTCGGTTTTTCAGTTTCGACTTGGTTTTGCTCCCCCTATTCAGAAGTATTTCAAAATTCGACATTATCTAAAATGATCCTTCATGAATAATGTTCTCCAACTTTGAAATACACCATTTTGGAATTATGGCTTGAATCTTACTATCCTATAACAACAACTCATCCATAAAGTTTTAATACAAACACAAAATACTTAAAGTGAAAGAACTTTAATTAACAAAAAAAGAAACAATGAACAAAAAAAAAAAAAAAATCCTCGTCCAGAACACATATTTCCATGGTCGCGCGAAAAACGGGTTGATTCTTGATGCACTTAAACCATACTCGTTCACACCTAACATGTATTTTCTTGGTTTCTTTTTCCGCGGTTATCTCAACAATTGAGTTGAAAGTAGACACCGTGTCTTTCTTTTTTTTTTTGTTTTTGTTTTTGTTGTATGAGATGTATTCTTTCACTATTAGGACTTAAAAATGTTCACGAAACGGAGTGGAGAAAATAGAGATCATAAGATACATGATAAATATCAGGATATAATATGTGGAAAAAATGGGAAAAAAAAATTGACAATGGAAATTGAAAATATGTTGTCTAATTATATTTATAAATTCCCATGGTAGAACTATTATATAGAAAGATTGCATGCCTTGGGACCATGTTTAAGCATGATGTTTATCGGCATAACTAAAATGTATCACGTTTATCAATAGTGATTTAATTATTTCAGAAATATTGAAATACAGAAGATTCACCGTGATGCATGTTTTGTTTAAAAAAAAAATCTACAAAAAGTTATTGCATATGTGAAATAAAAGGAAAAGTAATAACTTTTGACTAAAAAAATGATGTTAAAATCAATTTGAAAATCAACAATTTTGAGATCGAATAGAAAACAAGTAATATTTTATAGCAAGAACTATATTTCAAACAAAACCATGAATATAATATTCCAATACACATACCTTCAAATTTCATATGAAACTGATTATGGTGGAATTCCATGGCTGCAATTTCAGTTAAAAGTTGTAATACTCACCCAATATTATTTTATTTTTAAGTGATAGAAATGGATATATAATGGGAAAAGAAACTGAAAAATTCCCAACAAATCACACAAAATAAACTGCACGAAATCTTCCAAAATCATTTCAAGGTTAGAGTACACAAACTATTATGTTCTAAGTTAGCTTCTCAATGTTAATGGAGTTTCTGAACCTAAAAGTATTGATTTAGAATATCATTAATTTCTATCCAAACTGAATTACGAAGCATGATTTTTCGCTAACTAAGACTTCGAAGCGTGCGAGACTGTTGATGATATATATAGGAAATAGGGGGATTATAACAAAACAATTTATATAAGTGACAGGATAATTAATTACATTCTGGAGCATTATATCATGACTCATGAGTCCATATTATGTAATATAGACTATAGTAGTAATGTTTGAATGAAACACCAAAATAATATGTATATTCCAACATTTTCAAATAATTTCATTTGGTTTTGAAAGGAACAAAATTCAATGACGAGATAGTAAATTGCAATAATGACATTGAGTAATTTTTCTAAAATATGGAATAAAATAATTATTATTATTATTATTATTTTTTATTTTTTATTTTTTTTTTAAAAAAAAAACAAGAATAGGTTAGAAAGGAGAAAATGGATGAGTTGGGGACTGTTAAACAAGTTTTCCAAAATTATAATAATGCCTGCTTCGCTCTGAAATTTCCCTCCCACTTTGAGACTGTTGAGATTGCATTTTCGTTTCAGGGACACAATGCAGAGCTTGTTCCCACCTCAACGCCCCGCCGAGTTGACTCACCACCGTCTAATTGAGTTCGTCAAAACTGCCCTCATCAACATATTCGTCTCCCCTTACGCCACCGTATCTCTCCCTGTCTCTCTCGTCATTTTGTTTTCAGTTTTTTGTTCTGTATAGTTAATAGTACACTGTCTGATGTTGTATTTCTTACATATATGGATTTTCCTTCTCCCTATTTGAATGTGGTTATGCATTGAATTTTTGATAGGTATGTGATTTGTATTGTGGGAAAGTAATTGATGAGGAAAAGTGGGATGAAGCTCAGATTGGTCACTATATTGGCATTGGTAAATCCATGATCGCGCAGATTTATTTCTCAGTTGCATGCTGTTTTGTATTCCTAAATGTCGTTGACTATGCTGGGCCTAAGGTGTTTGCATAAATATTCTGAAATCACATACCGTTTCGTGAAATTATTATTGATGTAGTGATTATTGACAGCTTGTTCTGAAATCACATACCATTTCGTGAAAGTAATTGTTGTTTGGTGTTTTAAGACTTTAACATCATTGAATGTTCACAGACAATAGTTGTAAATTCATTCTCAGGATGGCTTTTTATCTGACATCCGTTTCCAATATTTGCAATTATTTTACATGAGAACTCGATGAGTTTATGTTATTTGACCACTGGACTTACGTTCTAAAGGTTCTCTAGAACATTAACTTGATAGTGTCACGTCGTTACCTGCATTATTTGCAAAATTGTTATTCATTTGTATTTTCACATGGTTGAATGTATCGTATAGGAGTCTTTTTTTGGTGTATGATGTGGAAATTTAACATTGTAGATGTGGCGACATCTGGAGTTAGTGAAGTGCGGGAAGCCTGGGAGAGTCGACACAAGGCTTACTCTTCTGAGTTTCTCGAGTTTGATCCGTGCATTGTGAGCCATTAGCACCCATGTATATGTATACTAATACTATAAATACCTTCTGCTATTATTTTGAAGAGGCAGGTCGATCAGGAAGTATATATTGGACGAATTGATGATGTCTTCCTGAAGTAACTTACTGAATAGAGTACTAGAATGTGGAAAGATTAAATTGTTTACTAAGAGAGTATTCTAAAGGTTCTTAGCAAAAGTAAAAATAAAAAAATAATAGATAAATGAAATTATGGAATTTGATTTTATTACTGTTATTATTTTTTTGGGTATTGTTTGCTTTAAGTTGATCATGCTCCATTATAGTTCATACTTGACATAAACATGTCTTCTACAGGAAGATGTTGACTTGCATTGGAAAAACAAGGAAAACCAGGCTGATATTGTTTTTTGCATGCAACATTTGCCGGTATGAGATCTTTACAGTGGTGTCTACTGGTAAGTATGTGTGCTATAAGACAACCTTTGATGTTAACCTTGAACGTGTGTATTGGCAGTTATGTGTTGAAACTGAGGAGAAATTGAGGAGACTGTTGCACAATGTCTCATCTCTGTTAAAGCCAGGAGGTTACTTTCTTGGTATTGCTCCCGACTCATCTACTATATGGTATGGTTTTAATACTGTGGTAGTTTTGCTTTTTTTCCCAGTAATGCGATTCCTTCGTTGGGCTTTTATTTTCTTCCTTTTTGCTTTTGATCTAACTAAATATGATTTTGAATATTGGGTTTTTACCATTTAATGTTATTGCCTCAGAATTTTTACGAGCTTTTTATTTATAATTACTAATCAGTTCGTCCCCAATACTATTTTATTGGTAATTGTCGTATGCTATTCCATCCGTAGCCCACGTGTGGGCTTAGCTAATTGGGGGCTCTAGTTGTGCTAAATTACAGTAAAGATTTTCTTGATATCTTTATATTTTCTGTCTTTACCATATGTCATTAGCGTTAAATAAACATTCCTTTCTCCTGTCTTGCATTATGAGATCACGGTGCCATGCAGAGGTTATGGGAAGTGCTTTTATTATTGTTTAATGTTTGTACATGTCTGCTTTACCAGCAATTGGCTGAGATTTTCTCATGGCTTTTATGGATTTCAATAAGGATTGTGTAACTTATTGATTTGAAGGGCCAAGTACCAGAAGAATGTTGAAGGATTTCACAATAAGAGTGGTGGAATTAAGCCCAGCAATTTTCCAAACTCTATTAGATCAGAGAGCTACATGATCACCTTTGAGGTTGAGGAAGAGAAGTGCGTGTTCAATAAGATCTTTCTCTTCATTTGTTGTCATATTTTCTTGTTGTATTTGATTTCTCTAATGTATTGAAATGATTTCAAGGTTCCCATTTTTTGGTAAAAAGTACCAGCTGAAATTTGCGGGTGACATGTCCAGTGAGACTCATTGTCTTGTACATTTCCCAAGTTTAATCAGGTTGTTATATTTCCTTATGCCTCTGTGATATAGCGTCAATGTCAGTTTATCTTCCATTCATTCCTCTTTAGTGTTCTTCTGGAATCTCAAGGCCTGTGCTTCTATTTTTTTCATTTAGATATGGTGTGTGCATCTGTTGAAGTTCTTTGTGTGTAAATATATTGGAGCTTACAATTTCTGTTCAATCTTTATGCACCATAATATAAAACTTATGTTTTTGCAATCTGATAAGATCTTTGGTTGGTAATGAAGACTCTCAAGATGCCCTAGGTGTTCATTTCAGAATATGGTCGGACATATTCCTTTTAGAAATTCTCAAATTGAATGCCTTATTTTTCATGCTCTGTCCAAAAATTAGCCAATTGGGACTCAAAAATATTTGTGGCCTCAACTTTATTTGTTTGGCAATCAATATTTACTATGCAAGAAGATTGTGTATTCGTGTGATAATCAATGAGATATTCCCCATACCATTTCATTGCTATGATATCCATATAGTGAATATAAATAAAGAGGTGATATATAATTTTGAAATATTACTTCAAAATGTTGTTCATATTGTACGACATCCTGATTGATACTTATGTTCTGCAGGTTGGCTAGAGAGGCTGGTATTGATTACATAGAGATACAAAATTTGACCGACTTTTATGATGACAATAGGTGACAGATCTTAACATTGGTATCTTGCATCATGGTTATGTCCAGTACGCAGTTGACTGAAATATACTCATCTAGTGGCAATGTTTTTCTTTATAGATTATGAGCACTCAATCTTGGTACTAATTCATATATTGGGATTTGGGAATTAGAACTTTGAAAATTGAAATAGAACATTTGAAGTCTCTTAGACACAAACAACTTAAGAAATAAAGAGTTGACCTTGATATCTGAACCTAGGTTTTAGATAAAAAAAACCAAGAACATGACTTTATAGTTTGATAGATGATTTAAAAAAACGCACAGGAACAAATTTCCCCCAACAGAACTAAACGCTCGTCCAGAAAGAACTAACAATCAGAATATTGCTTTACCTTTCTGGTTATATGTTATGCCTTGTCTTGTGGGGGCTACATTTATAACAGTACATGAAACTAATATGTTATTTTTAGATGCATGAGTTCAGCTTCTCTTTTGTCAAATTTGTTTGAATGCTTTGGATTTGCCGCATTTATCAACAATCCACTAATTGAGGAAGGAATATAGCTACACCATTTTTGGACTCATTTATTATTCTTTATATTCTAATTGAACATCTGGACATCATCATTGGAAAATTTGCGGTAGATCATAGATGTTGCGTGTTCAATGTCTAGAACAGTCTGTTGTGCCTCCAGTATGGACCTGTTAACTTTATGCTTCTTGCTAAGTATAGATGTGAGGGTGCTTATGTTATCAACCTGGCTCTTAAGAGCACAACTGGCAGGGTTGCTCATGGACGCTGTTCATAATTTCGTTGATCCAAGGGGGCGGCTTCTTCCGAGATCATATGATGTTTTAGGTTATTCACTTGTTCATGCCACTCTTATTCATAAGAGTTGATGAAATTTTATTTTATTTTTGTAATGTGGATACTTGATGCAAGTATTTCGCAGGTCTATACACGGTATTCATCTTTCAAAAACCAGATCCAGATTTTGCCCCCCCTCTCATGACCCCATTGTTGGAAGATGGAAGCCACAATCATGACGAGGCAAGTGTTGTGGTATTAAAAGGCCATAAGCAACTTAATTTTTGGAAACTATGACTTCTAACAGTTCTTCCATGCCTTTGGTACCTAAAAGGTTTTTAAACCATAGATTGGCTTTAATTCACTTTTATGGTAGGAATGATTGAAATTATAATATAAACTTATAAGGTGCTCGTCCTAATTCCATTTTGCTTTTACTTAGGTTTCTTTGAGCCTTCTTCTTTGAAGAGAATACAATGTGATCAAATATTGAAGAACACATAAACTAGGAGAAAGCATTAATGTGAAATGGAAATAGCTCATACTTCGAAGTAATTACTGGTTGGTGCATGCATACATATTGAAGTATAATGGTCGGCTACAAGAAACAAAATGCATATTGAATTTGTAATGTGATGCTTCACTCTTTGTCGTCGATGCATGGCAATCACAGGACTACTAGGATTACGGATCAAGTAGGTGTATAAATACCTCTCTGAATGCGTAATGTTGAGGCACTGAAATTTATATTATTTAGCAAGATATTAATTATTAGGACTTATTTCAAACGTGCAACGGAAACGGTTCACAAATAGAATGTGTTAATGAATGGGCTCATCAGAAGCATTGGCTTAGAAAATAATATTTCAAAGGAATGGGATTATTCCTAGGTTCACAAATAGAATGTGTTAATGAATGGGCTCATCAGAAGCATTGGCTTAGAAAATAATAGTTCAAAGGAATGGGGTTGTTCCTATTAAACATGCATGTGATGGATTCATATATATATATATATATATATATATATACATATATTTTGGTAGTTTAAACATTTTTACTTTTTAGTTGATTCATATAGCATATTTGATTTGTTTTTGCTATTATTTCAGTAGTTAAACAAACAAAAGAAGTATATTACATGATGAATTATGCTCATCATATCAAATGAACTTAGGAAAAAAAATATAATTTTCTATATAATAATTAAATTCATGATGGAAAAGAATACGTAGAGAATTTTGTTTTAATTATGTTAGACCTATAGATTCGGGGGAAGAGAGTGATGTTCCATAGAGGTGAAGCACACCATAAGAGGGTGAGTCTAGGTGCACCTTAGTGAGGCTCCATCTCAAAACCAATTTTGATGGGAGTAGTAGCCCACTAGGCTTCTAAACTAGGCTCATTTACCCTATAGAATCAATATAGGACAACACACAAGTCACAAGTGATGTTCCAACAAAATTCTTCTTAACAATTAAATTTTTATCTAGGTTAATCTTGCTTATGCAAAGTCTTTTAATTTTAAATTTAAAATTTTGTTGAACTCATCATCATATATACTTTTCTAAATTATGATCTATGTTGTTGTCATCTTTGTTAATAGTCTATCATAATCCCTTTCTTTTGTTTTCATTTTTTCTTTAATTGGTGATGGTTTATATAGGGAGACATTTTCTTAAAAGAGAATTGAAGAATCGAACTACATCGAATAAAAAATAGTCAGTTAGTTTTGGTTCATCTCTGAAATGCCACGGATTTTGACTATTACTGTTTTAGTTTTTGGTTTATGGTATATTGAATAATCACATATACACAGTTGGAACATATTTTATATAATATTTTTAATATAAATGTAATCTATATAACAAATTACATGTATAAAATAAAGAATTAAACAAGAAAAAACTTTTCACAAATCAAAAGAATACTAACCTTATTTTTGCCAATTCTCGTGAAATAACAAAATTATTAACGATATTTTCATGTGAATTGCAAGTTAATCTTTTTGGTTTGGCATAACTGTTTGCCTTATCTTGGATGGAAATTAAATTGTGTCAAACTGCCACATAGTGACGAGATCCTTCCTTTTAATTTTTCTTGTTAACAATGTGTGACGGCCGTAATTCAAGTGGGATTTGTAGATCAATCCTCTAATATTACACCCATTTTCTCCCAAATATAGTAGTATAAATATCAGAATATTTGATGACATAAATTAACTTGTTATAGTTTTTGAAGGAATAAATTAGTTGGAAAACTTTAAGAATGTTAAAGTTCAAGCATAATATACATAATGTGAAATTGTTTTACTGAAATACTTTAGAAATCACAAACAATACTTTCTGTTTGTGAACTATATGTTTATTTAACGAACAAAATACATTTTTTCTAAATGCTAGTTATCTCATACAAATATAAAGATAATAAAACTAAAAATATACCATATATTAACCACCATGAATAAGTGTGTTTAGGCATTAGTTTTTTCCGTTAAATTTGTAAAATTTGTAATCTCTTGCGTTATATTGAAAAATCAAAACAAATTATTTTAAGTAAATTGGTTGCTAATGTAATTGTTCTGATTGGTTACTGTCTTAGAAATTGTAGTTTTTTTCCTGTGAAAAAATATTTGTGAAAAATAATTGCTCAATCAAAAGGGATATCTATAACAAAAGAACTTTAGCCAAAATGACAGTTATCTCAGATATTAACAACAATAACAAAAGAACCAAAGTTTAACTATCGTATAACTGCCAAGATAAATATATATATAT